GCATGTCTACCCATAGCTGCTTATCCACGCATGTGATGGCCAAGATATGGTCTGTATTGTTTCCACCATTAGCTGCGTACATATAGAGGTTGGGTGTGATGTTGTAAATAAGGATGGGTGTGAGGGTATTGTATTCTGAGGGATTACACTCGATCGCACACGCCATACTCTTGTCAATGCAAATCAAAATATTTCATACACACTCAAAGTCGGCACCAAATCCAGATCCTGAAAGAACTTGTCGATGGGTAGGGCCCGTCCTCGATTTCCCAACTAGTCACATCCTCACATGCAGTTGTCTCCAAATCCACTCCGACCTCGATCTCCCTACTGGGCGCGGGGGTCGATACCATCCTTACATCGAACCAACAGGAACCATCACACCGTAAGCATGCCATGCCCCCATCCTATCCGTTGCTTGAATGTATACGCCTAGGCTCATCATCTATCTCATGTCTTCCCATTCAGATCCTGGACGAGTTCGTCAACAGGTCCGGCCCTTCCTCGACTTCTCTACTTGACACGGGGGTTGACACCATTCGCCGCACAGACGCTGCCGTTGGTGTGCTGTCACAGCTGCTGTTTGATCAACGTATTCTTCCGGCTGTCAACTTCTCGGCGGTCGTGCAGTTCTTTGTGCTGCCGTACCTCTATCCAGTAAGTGGATTCCTATTACAAGCTTGATGAGTACATCGATAGTTTGTGTATTTCTGTGTGTGTGTGTGTGTACATTCGCTGTGCGCCAGTGTATCCTTTCCTCCTACCGCATTCTCTCGGTGTATGGGTATCGTGCAATCGTTTATGCTCCGCTTCATGTTTTATCTAAACGTATATGCCAGGTACCAAGATATAGGAATATCTGTACGTGCTACGCAACACGTGTATGTATTGAGTGAAAACCAGGTGCTCCAAAATCTTCGGCAAATTGCTACTTCCAGCCTTGCGACGATCGCGCGGCGATGGGTATAATTTAAATCTTCGTGTTTGGTCCAATCAATATCCAGTGTTCGAATGGGCTTGGCTATTGCTCCTTACCCCTGGATGCTGGATCGAGTGCTTCTACATACACCCTTGCTTAGTGCACACACTTTGACATTCGTTCCTTGTTGCACCACTGTCCTGTGCAAAACTGTTTGTATATATTAGCTATAAGTGGTATAAGTGCAAGTCTGTATACAAGTATCTCAAATATACGTATTGTTGCTTCCTTAGCTCAAATTGACAGGTCCGAATATTCAGGCTGGTCTATAATGATGGGGCGAAATCGGAGAAACTTAAGCTACACGTGGTTCCCTACCCATTCCGTACCACACCTGTCACAGACGCTTCATATATATATATCCGGTGTCTTATTGCAGCAGTACGTTACACATCTGTGCCCTGTGCATGTTTGCTCTTCTCCGCAGTCATAGTAGTTCTGAGTAGCATTACTATACCAGCACAATCCATGAGCCGCGCTTGCAATCTGTACATCTATCTGGTCACATGATCCAGCCAATTATCCACACACAGTGCGCCGAGAAACCATCTGCACTGCCACTTTCGCATACCCATCCCGTACATCTTTATCTATCCAGGATGCTGGCGTGGTGCTGGTAGTAGCCCTGCGCCTGCTTGATGAATGTCTTAGCCCTCAGACCCACGCCAAGGTCCGTAGCTACAACACTACATCCGTCTCGGTCCTAACCAGTGTCGTACTTCATCTGTGTGAGCTGTTACAGCACCGCAACGCCATGTGCCGCGTGTTGGCTGCGCTGGGCAGTAGTCTGGACACCGTGACTCGCTGCCTTGTGCGTGCGATGAAGACGCTTACACGTCTGTGGGGAGAGCGGCGCAGCGAGAGCAGAGAACTGGCCTCGGGTGTAGAATGCTCGTCCACACAGAACGGGTCAGCGTTGAGTGCACACACGCGCACTCAAGTCGGGACACGGGTGTATGATCTGCTGTTGAATGGAGACGAACAAAAACTGTCGGATGATGGCTGCAGTAGGCAGTGTTCGTGTAGCCGATGTTCAGGCGAGGAGAGGGAAACATTTCCTGCGAATTGGCTCAGGGCTCAGATGGCAAAGTTCGGTAGGTCTACTGGCCAATGCATATATATATATA